AAAGTACATGACTCTATTTATATAAAATGTCCAGAACAGGCAAATCTATACAGATCAAAAGTAGATTAGTGGTTGCCTTGGGCTGAGAGTTTTGGGGGTAAGAGAGGAGTGATGACAATGGCCATGGATTCCTTTTTGGAGTAATAAAAATGTTTTAATATTAATGTGATGAAGGTTGCACAACTCTGAATAAGCTAAAAGAGAACACTGAACTGTACACTTAAATGGGTAAATTATATGGTATGTGAATTATATCTCACTAAAGCATTTATTAAAAAAGAAAACTCTAGGCCCAGGCCGGGTAAGATCAGTTCGTTAGAGCATCATCCCAATGCACCATGGTTGCTAGTTTGATCCCTAGTCAAGGCACACACAAAAGGCAACCAATGAATGCATGAATAGTTGGAACAACAAATCGATGTTTATCTCTCACTCGCTCTTTCTCAACTCAGTAATTATTTTAATAAAAAAAGAAAACTCTACTACAGAGTATGAAAAGTCCAGAAGCGCTGCCCCCCACTCCCTACACCACCACCCCGCACCCCCTCTGCCCCCCGCCACACACACACACAATGCTAAATCTTTGTTTGGAGGTGAGCTAAAAAGCCCCAGCTTTCTGCTTTGAAGATCTGGGCTGAAACTAGAACTTGTTTCTTCTTCTGTCTTATTATGTATTCATCCATCTCAGTTCAGTTAAACTCTGTACTGGGCAGACAGTGAATGCTCAATAAATATTTGTTAATTGGTAATGCATATAAAATGTAATATGAAATAAGGGAAAATCCAACAGCATAAACAGGCTACAATAAGCACAAAGTTTTTTGGTGTGTTATTTTAAGTTATTTGATTTTTTCTTCAGGCTCTATATCTTGGCAGACTACAGTACAGTACACATATGCAGGCAAGCTTATATCAGTCAGAAAATTTCCTCTTACCCAATCATTTAAACTAACAATTTAAGAAAATGTTTTACATAACATATGGGACAATTATTATTCTGAGATGAAAATATAACTTTCTAAAAACCTCTTTTTGCCCTTTAGATATCAAAAATCAGTAAATTCTTCTATTTTAAAAGAATAATTACAGTTGATACAAAGTTTATTAGAATGCCTGAATGACACAAAAGTATAGTAGTAACCATCAAAAAATTTTGAAGTTACAGGTCCTTTCTCAAGCCATCCCAATTATTACTTATTAAACCATTCTCTGTTAAAATGTTCTTTACTGACTCAGACATCCTGATTTTTTTTTTTTTTTTAATTTGGGCAATACAAAGATATAGCTTTCAATTCATGGTTAAACATAAAATAAGAAGGGGAAACTGAAAAACAATTTCACTTTCACTGAAAACAATTCAATGGCTCATTATTCAAAAGCATATGTTCATCAATACAAATAAACTTTCATTCCTATAAGTTTCTATTTGAGGCTAAAATCTTAAAATAGCGCCTAAGTTGCACCACAATTCAGCTGCTATGGAAAAGCTAAGTAATGCTTCCCATGACTAAATGGATTAATTCTTTAACCCAAACACAATTACTGTTCTCCACACTGTTCCATTGAACATCTAAATAAGCATCCCAAAGCTTATTTCATTCAAAGAAAAGATCCGGACCAAAGAATAATCCCAATGTATGAAGTTTACATTTTGTGTAAAGTTTTTTTTAAAAAAGGAAAAATCTATAAGTGGTAATCAGGAAAAGAAATGAGTCCTTTTAGACAGGTGTAGGGTATGACATCTATTGACTAATAGATATCTTTGTTGAAGGAGTGCTGTGCAGGCTCCAGTAGATGTTTTTTTCTCAAACCAACTCATTTTTTGTACTCAGTTCCTGAATGTAGCTTTCCATAGTTGGCACTCACATTAGCAGTGAAAAAAAACGCTTTGAGAAAATAGCCTGTTACACAGAACTATACATTTCAACTAATTTTTATTCTTGCTTTTCATTTTTCAAATTCAACAATGTATGAAGAATGCTCTAACCGCCATGCTTATTAAACATTTTATTCTCCAATATATTTTTAAATTCCAAAAATAGACACCTGATCTAGTTGTGGGGTCAGGGATGGGACAGTGGGGATAATAGGCAAACATGTAGCTGCAATTAAATACCGCTCTATGACTCAAGAGATAAAATGAAAGAAAACAGCTATTATAGGATTCTCTGATACTGACATGTCTTCTGAATCCAAGATGGTCTATCTTTTTAATACTTGCTGTTACAGAGACTAGTGACTGTGTCCACTGTGTTGGAGAAAGAAAAAGCACCTATATGAGGGGGTCTGAACTAGATAACCTGTAGGGTTTCTCCTGACTCCTAAGACTGGTCATTCAATTTCCACTTCTTTTTATCTAAAGTTTTATAATTATAGCTGTTTTTCTCCCTCCTTAATGTCCCTTGGGAGACTTCTATTGTCAAACTACTGTTATAACATCAGTGGTAAGAGAATTTTTAGCTCTTTATAACACTTTGCCTTTAAATAAAGGATTATTTACTGTTAGGAGATTTTCTACAGCTCTGCCCCAAAGGACTTTCACAAACAACGCAAAAGTATTTTCACAAGATCAAGCTGTTTAGCTTTTGTCTCCTAATGAAGGCTGAAATAATGGCAGAGCTTCCTTGCACTGTTGGAAACTAGATTGCTGCAGGTGAGCAGGTGGGGTGGTCTATATACTCGTTATGTCATGCAGTTTTTAGGTTTTCTTCTATAGGACAGAAATGAAAAGAAAATGTTGAAATTCCCACCAAGTTTTGACTGTTGTTTAAGTTCGTCAATATGGAATTAAACAGCCTGAACCTCATCTGTTATCTACTGTAGGTATAACTGGATTAATTTAAAATGGTTATTAATGCCCTTTAGAATTCTAATTAGCCAAGGGGACTGCTGAGGCAGACAGCATTTGGGGGATGAGAAGGATGATTCTTTTCCCAGTCAGAGTTTAAATCTTAGGGAAGCACTCCTATATAATTCCTATCCACCCCTTTTAAGCAGTAAGATGAGGGAGGGAGGAGCCTGAATAAATACAATGAAACGGACCGAAAGGAATGACAAAGAAGAAACAGCCAAAATAAGGAAGAGAGAAGAGGAAAAATATGAGAAAGAAAATTTTCAATATACTTAAAAAAAATGCACTGGTGATAGAAAAGCAAAACCTAATGCACTTCTAGTAAGTCAACAAACAAAAAGGAAACCTGCTAGAAAACAGCTTTTAGGTATCTGGACTGAAGCCTTATGTCAAATTAGGAAGACATAAAAATAAAATTATTTTTTACACAGGAAAAGATTTATCAAGCTTCTCTGAAAAAGCAAAGATCCCAATAGCTTCCAGTGCCAAAAATATTTTCCTAAATTTGCACTACCCCAAGTTATAATTGCATCACTTGTTCTATATTTTTTGATGACTTAAAAAATATATTAGGAGTTCCAGCCCCAGATAATATGGAATAAGTACACTCTACCCTGTCTTTCCCACTGACTGCTGGTAAAAAAAACCTGGACCAAATGCATAAAGCATCTATTTAGGGCTCTGAAGAGTAAACATTAGCAGGCAAATTGGAGAAGATCAGCATTTTAATTATTACCAAACTTTTGGTGAATTTACTATTTTCTCCCCTTTGGTATCCTCTGGCCTAGACTCAACACAGCTGAAACTTACAAGTGGACACTTGGGCAGACAGAGGGAACTGCAGGAACAAGCCTTCTAGTTGTAGCTTGAGAGTCAGGAAAGGAATCTTCTAAGGCTCAGAGTCAACTTCTCGGGTTTGTGTGCTTTTCAACATTCTTTGTACCTCAGACGCCAAGCAATCTTATGATGCAGTGGAGGAGGCATGGGCAGCAGCAGCAGCAGCAGCGGATTCTGTTTTCTAAACTCTTGGCGGAGGAAACCTTTTTCAAGAGGATGGCATGAACTCCTGTTGCTTACCTTTTTCTCTCCAACTACTTGCTATTTCACCCCACATATAGGCACAGTTGGGAGACGTATGCAGCCCTGGCTGGGTAACTCCGTTGGTTAGAATGTTGTCCCAATATGCCAAGGTTGCAGGTTCAATCCCGGGTCAGGGCACATATAAGAATCAACCAGTGAATGCATAAATAAGAATAACAAATCTATGTGCTCGCTTTCTCTCGCTCTCTCTCTCAAAAATCAATAAATAAAAAATTGTTTTAAAAAAAAAGAAGCATGTAGCAGAGAGGGGGTAACTAAAGCCCCAACTCTGTGGTTGGAGTACCGAAAAAGGCAGGTCCAAGTAACCAAAAAGTACCAGGGAGATTATAAACAGCCAGGAAGAAGTTCAGGAAAGCAATCCCATTAAGTTGTTTATCTAAGCTGTGCATGCATGGAGCTGATGCTTAAATAGCATACCACAGACTTCAAGAAATAAACTATGGGACAACCACCCAATTTTTAGATTGGCCATTATTTAGCACACATGCAGGTCACATTCAAATTGTACTGCAAAGGTTTTATAAAAGGAACTGATATTAGAAACACAACCTACAGGAGCCTGGGTAGAACTTAAAACCTACAACCAACCAGACTGATTACCAGGTAAAACAAACATATCAACATTTATCATAGGATTTAAACAAGACAGCATCACAATGTAATACTTAAATTGTCCAGGAGTTAGTCTAAAATAATTTGATCACACGAGGAACCAGGAAAACCTCAACTTATAAAAAAAGACAATTAACAGATGCCAACACTGAGAAAACACAAAGGATGAACTTATCTGATGATATCTGACAAAGACTTTCAAAAGAAGCTAATATGAAAATGTTCCATAAGAGCAAACACTCATAGAATGAATGGAAAAGTGGCAAATTGCTTCAAAGAAATAAAAGATAGAAAGAAGACCCAAAAGGAAAATTTGGAAACTGAAAAATAAAATAACCGGGGGACCCTTTCCCCCTCCCCACATGGGAGTCCATTCTGTGGGACCCTTTCCCTCTCCCCACATGGGAGTTCATTCTGTGGGACCCTTTCCCTCTCCCCACATGTGAGTCTGTACTTGTTCTTCAACAAATCTCCACCTTTGCTATACTAAAATAAATAAATAAATAAATAAATAAATAAATAAATAAATAAAATAACCGAAAGGAAAATCCAGTTGGACAGGATCAATAGCCAAATGAAAATGATAGAGAAACAGCCAGTAATCTTGAAGATAGATTAAAGAATACCTATTTTGAACAGAGAGAGAGAAAAAAATATATTTTTAAAACCAACCCTCAGGGACTTGTGGGAAAATAACAAGATATCTTACTTCATTGGAATCCAAGCAGGAAAGGAGAGAGTGTGGTATAGAAAGAAGTTTTTGAGGAAATAATGACTGAAAACCCAAATTCCTAGCTTCACTTGCATTACTTCTCGGGCAACAAAACTGAAATTACTGAGAGTTTCTCTCTTCAGAAACCAGAGGCCAGAAGAAGCAGTGACATTTTTAAATGCTAACAGAAAAGAACTGTTAACCCAGATTCCTATATTCAAGAAAAATATCCTTCAGGAATTAAGGTGAAATAAAGATATTTTCAAATGAAGAAAAACTAAGAAAATTCACTGTCAGCAGATTTGCTCTAAAAGAACTGCTAGAGGGAAGTTCTTCAGAGAGAAGAAATATGACATCAGAATGAAACCTAAACATTAGAAACGAGAGGAGCAACAGAAATAGTAAAAGTCTTTCTTCTGTTAAGATCTTTAAAATACGTTTGAAAACAGAAAGCAAATGGAATAACAATGTCTGATGTACCTAGATATAATACATTAGACAAATATATCAATCAACCCCAAACTCAAAATTGAGCAAAAATAGTAAAACTACTTTGCATGGATCTTTAATAGCACAGCCATTTTCATTTCTTTCCATTGATCCTCTCTTTTTCCAAAGTAGAAACAATAACATCAAATAGCTTGTAAGTACCTATTGTGCATGATATTGTTAAGCCACAAGCTGAATAGATTCTTTGCCCTTTTAGAAGCTTAAAATCTAAATTATTTAAATCCAATATAAAAGAAGTAATAAACAACTGAAATAAAACAAAGAAAAAACAAACACTGAGCAATGATTTAAAGACTCAAGTAATATACACCTTGTATGCCAGTAAAATTTCAATGTATTTATTGTACACAAAGAAAAGAAAAAAATGAGGAAGGTTCAGTGGGCCACTATTTTGCTTGTTTTAAATTTTAGAATGGTAAGCTATTCCTGACAGAAAAATACGCTTACCTTTTGTATATCAGAGCTTCTTTTGAGTGCCAAATTGGAGAGAAGAGATTGTTCCATTTTATAAATCCCAGCTAGTTTAATGAGAAGGGGCAAATTCAGATACACAGAAACAAATACTTTGAAGAAATGCCATAACCCTCCCCCATATCGTAATTAAAGCCTAATCTTAGAAATAAATCATTTCGTCTTTAACTCATCTTGTTAGTTCCTAAAGACTTTATTTTAGGCCTGCAGAAGAAAATTCTTTGAATCTGTAAATAGTCTGAGTATAAATTTTGTTTAGTGGTAAGTAAAGCTCATGATATTATGTAATACTAATACATTCTTAAAATTCAGGCAAACTTCAGTTACTACCAACTGTTCTGGATGTGTTAGTAACACCCTAAAGATTAAACAGTATAATGTCATAAATCCTATTACAGTATATAATCTCTAAAAAATATTCAGGGGTATAAAAATATACAGCATATTAATGATCTTTACATTTCCGTAACACTCTTTATACTAAATGTGTGAATCTAGTTACTTTGGATAAAAGTCTATGAAAATCCATCTCTCATAGCTATTAAATAAAATATATTCTTCTCATTCTTGGAATTAGGTATTCTGAATGTCAGCCTTAGAAGTGAATTAACCTTTCCACTTCTCCTGCCCCAAATATCAACATTTATGTACATGCTCTCCACAAAAGACAAGAGGAAGAGAAAGTAAAAGGAGTAAACATCTAAAAATAAACAACACTAAACTAAGCATATATCACACAATATGTTTGGAACACATTTTTAATACCCCCCCCAAAAAAAAATAACAGCCAAGTGGGTTTAAAAAAAAAATTTCTTCCCACCCAAAAATCCCACCATGAAAGTTTATTTTTCTAAGTAATAGGGGTGTGGGAGGGGGGAAGGGAGGAGGATATTGAGTAATACAACCTCCAAAATATTATCTGTCAGAAAAAAACATGCAACAGATTTACTTCATGAAACGTTAACCAAATTGACTGAAATTATGAAAAGTGAGATACACAAATGGACATTTATTTCTTGTAGTGCCCTAAATGGTGTCTCCTCCAAAAATGCTATGTACAAGTTCTAACTGCCAGTACCTGTGAATATGATCTTATTTAAAAACATCTAATCTAAAGAACACACCCACTTACCCAATCAGTTTAAAACTCTTTATGTGGACTCAGGGTCTGGAGAAATGGAAGGTACCACCCAGACTCGCAGAAAGTGGGCAACCAGGAATTAGATTCATGAAGCTGCCTCTGGACCTGAGCATGTAATACCGATAATGCCACTATTTTGCTAAGCTGATTTGGGGGAAAATTATTCCTCTGAGCCTGTTTCCCCTTCTAATCAGTACAGTATTTGGTGGGGGCTATTCTGAGTATGAATTGAAATGATTCAGGTACTTAATAAATGTTTAAATCTGAAAGCAACAACAACCTCTTTATGCATACGTAACTTTTACTTCGATTTTCACCAAGTTTATCACCTTATATTACTTCACCTCTTGGGTACATCATGATGGAAATTTTTTCTAGATATATTTATCCATAAGTATTTTCTCTACTTTTAAAATCAAAGATTTATTTAGTTATATGTAATAAAAATATCTAGTGACAACAGTAAATAATAATAAAATCAGCTCTAAATTTATATATAAGACTAGAGGCTCGATGTATGAAATTCATATAAGAGTAGGCCTTCCTTCCCCTGGCTGCCAGCACCAGCTTCTCTCTGGCACCCGGGACCCGGGCTTCCCTCCGGCCACCAGCAGGCACCCGGGACCCAGGTTTCCCTTGCAGCCCCGGCTTCGTCCGGAGGATGTCCAGTCTAATTAGCATATTATGCTTTTATTATTATAGATAACTGCTTCCTTAAGGCTCTGAAATACCAAAAATAATGTGAGAATTTCCCTCCCCAGCCATTACTACTTGAACGAATCTCTAATATAAAACTGCTGATAATCTAACATCAGCCAAATAATTTTATCTGAAAAAAATATCATTAAAATATTAGTTCAAAAAAAGAATGAGTGATAATTTAATTCTCAAACTAAAAAATTGCTCAGTGTGGGCTCATCTTTTTCACATTTTTTAAATGAACCTTTCAGCTTTAGTTTATTCCTTAACGCAGAATTTCAGGTTGTTTGGGCCCAAGAGTCTAGATTACCTAAGCTCATTTACTCAATATAAGAAACCCACAAAACAACACAGATATTTATCAGTCCAAGAATCTGTTACTTGTATACGCAGTATATGCAAATTGCCACTTTAGCAAACCAGACTCATAAACCACTGCCATGAACTATATAATTTTAAGTAAATCTAAGTATACCATGATGATTTAAATATAATGTTAAATTTAACTGCCTTCTTTAGAGTATTGATACTGTTTCCCCTCTAATACAAAGTACAAAAGAGAAGAGAGGTGTCAGGGGATTCAGGATGAGTAAGAAACCAGGAGAGCAGGAACAGGATCCTGCAAGCCCTACCAGTAAAAAATGAAACACTTCTTATTCTCTTATCTCTGACATATTTTTCTAAAATGCATGTTTCCTTGCTGAAAGCCAATAATGGCAATTTGGAAAACTGCCATTAAGGACTGAATAAAACTGGAAACAACATACTTTATCAGCCATCCAAAACACTGTCTGAATCTTCAGATGACAAAGACTAAGTTGATTCCTAGATTTATCAACTCAGTTAACAACAATTATACACATTAAGTTGCTATATAAGGGCCGACACAAAAGCACTCAATAAGTGTTAGCTGAACTGATGTGAACTATAGAAGGCTTCTGAAATTTACAAAATTAATATGTACAACACAAGTGTGAATGTCAGTATAATATATTTTACTGAAAGACTCATTTGAGTATTCCTATAGTTAGAAAACACATCTTGGATAACACACAATTATAATACCAATACAATGCAATAAAAACCTAACATCTAACTTACATTGGGTAGGAAAAGAAGCTCTCGTGGCAAAAGAAAGAATTAGGCTTGAATTTATAACACTACCAGAGAGTGAAGAGGGGTCCAGGTCAAGAGTATCAGCCAACATAGTATTGTGGTTAAGTGTGTGGGCTCTGGAGCAAAACTGCCTGGGTTGAAGTCCAGAGTTCTCACTTACTTAGGTACTCTAACTCTTTATACTTTTCCCCTCACCTATAAATGAGATAATAGTACCAATTCATTAGATTGTTAGGAGAATAAAATGAGTTAATGCAAATAAAGTGCTCAGAAAACTACAATGAATATTTACTATTCGTATTTAAATTGTACTCATACTTGCCAGTAACCCAAAGTAAATTATTATTGGTCTGGACCATATAAAATTGATATTTTTATAGGTCAAAACAATTTGAATAGCGACAATGTTTTAATGGTTCAACTGAATATAAAAGAGTGAGGTGTGAACATAAGTTGCTGAGAATATCTAGGGGACCCAAGCTCTGAAAAACTAAACAACCCAGCAATGTATTCTTAGAGCAGTTCTAAATATAACGGAAGGAAAGGGATTTCTCCAGCAACTTAAAACAAACCACATTCAAGTAATAAAGCATACAATTCAGTATGCCTGGCCTCTAAAGCAACCAATATTTGACAGTGGATTGATTTTGAAAACTGAACTAATATTTTACATTCAAGTATCTATTTTCTCTCCTCTAAGTTACAAAATGAATGTTCTCACAATTTCAAAAGGAACATACTGTACTGTTATTTATGAAGTTTAAAAAATGCCTAATTTTGATTACATGAACATTTACAAAGTTAATGCTGATTTGTTAAGGTTTTTTATTTTCTTTTTTCCATCACTATTTATCCCCTCGATGCCCTCTTCCACCTCCATCCACGCCCTCCACCCCCATCCCGTCACCACACTGTTGTCCATGTCCATGAGTTCTTTTTTTCTTAATCCCTCTACTCTCCTCAACACCCCCCCCCACAACTACCACCAGAGCTGTCTGCCTGCTATCTATGAGTTGGTTTATTTTACTTAGTAGTAGTTCAGTTTGTTCATTAAATTCCACATATGAGTGTAAGGTGTTTTTAATGCAAAAAATGCTATAGGTTTTTAATCAACATAATTTTTTATTAGAATATGTTACAATTCATAAATATCTACATTGATTTTAATATAAAACTATTTTCCTAAATATTTCCACCAGGATAGATTTCTACAATTTAACATAGCATCTACAATCTACCTTAAAGCTTGTCGATCTCAAAATGAAACAAGTACACTAAAACCTCAAAAAATGACTGCACAATTTCAAGACAGCCTGATATTGCACAAAGCTACCTTATGTTTTCATTCATCTTTTCAATTTCTACAACCTAACTATGGATCTTTAAATTATATGTAAAAACATATGAATAAAAATTATATATAAAATCCTAATATGCAAATAGACTGAACAGCGGAACAACCAACCAACCAACCAACCGGTCGCTATGATATGCAATGGCCACCAGGGGGCACACATGGAACATGGTGGGCATCAGCAGCAGGTGGCAGAGCGCGGAACATGGTGGGCATTGGTTGTGGTGGTATGGTGGAGCAGGTGAGCAGGGGTACCAGACTAAGGCAGGGCGCCGGTCACTCTATGGTTTTATCTCTTTTGGATATTTCACATCTCTGAAATCTTAGAATCTGTAGCCTTTTGTGCCTATCTTCTTGCACTTAGCATAATGTTTTGGAAGTTTATGCATACTGTAGCACATATCAGTACTTCATGCCTTTTTATGGCTAATATTCCATTGTAAGAATACTCAATATTCCCCCCTTTACCCATGGGGGATACATTTCAAAGCCCCCATATAATTCCTGAACAGCAGATAGTACCAAACATATACTATGTTTTTTTCCTATACATATATACCAATAATAAAGTTAATTTATAAATTAGGCACAGTAAGAGATTAGCAATAAAATAGAACAATTATAACAATAAACTGTAATAAAAGTTACATGAATGTGGTCTCTCTCTAATAACTGAGATGGCTACTAAATGACTAACTGGTCGGTGGTATATACAGCCTAGATATGTTGGACAAAGGTATGATTCACATCCCAGGTGGAATGGAGCGGGACAGCACAAAATTTTATAGTGCTACTCAGAACAGCAGTTGTTTATTTCTGAAATTTTCCATTTAATATTTTTGGACCGTAGTTGACTGAATAACTGTAACTGTGAAAACCAAACTTGTGGATAACTACTTTACTACATTTTATTTATCCATCCATTGATTGATGGTCATTTGGGTTATTTCCCCATCTTAACTGTTATGAATAATGTTGCTATGGAAATTCTTTATCATTTCATCCCCTTTTTAAGATATATGGCAAAGTTTTAAATTAAAGCAATTCACAGTGGCACTAGCAGGTCTCTGAAGACCCTACAGACCTTAATACAATTTCAAGTAGTAGCATCTTCCTCTTTAGGTATAGACTGCTCTTCTGAGTTCATTCTTTTTCATTAAATATCATCTGAACAAATGATACAGGAGAAAAACCTCATCTACCTTTACAAACCATGAACAGAAAAATAAAAAAATAAAGCTACAATATAAAATATTCTAAGTTTCTTACGTTGACCTTATCTGATTTTTAAAAACCTACATATCTCACATTTCATACTCAATGGACAAAAACTAACACCATTTCCCCTAAGAACAGGAACAAGACAGGGATGCCCCCTCTCACCACTCCTGTTCAACATAGTACTGGAAGTGTTAGCCATTGCAATTCGGCAAGAAGAAGAAATAAAAGGCATCCAAATTGGAAAAGAGGAAGTAAAACTGTCCTCATTTGCAGACGACATGATATTATACATACAAAACCCTAGAGACTCCATCAAAAAGCTACTGGACTTAATACATGAATTTGGCAATGTAGCAGGATACAAAATTAACCCCAAGAAATCCGAGGCATTTCTATACACCAATAGTGAACTTTCAGAAAGAGAGATTATAAAAACAATCCCGTTTACCATCGCACCAAAAAAATTAAGCTACCTAGGAATAAACTTAACTAAAGAGGTAAAAGACCTCTACTCAGAAAACTACAGGACGTTGAAAAAAGATATAGAGGAAGACATAAACAGATGGAAGAACATACCGTGTTCATGGATTGGTAGAATCAACATCATTAAAATGTCCATACTACCCAAAGCAATCTATAAATTCAACGCACTTCCCATTAAAATACCTACGGCATACGTCAGAGATCTAGAACGAACTCTCCAAAAATTCATCTGGAATAAAAAAAGACCTCGAATAGCTGCAGCAATCCTGAAAAAGACCAAAGTAGGTGGGATCTCAATACCAGATATCAAGATGTATTACAAAGCCACTGTTCTCAAAACTGCCTGGTACTGGCACAAGAATAGGCATATAGATCAATGGAATAGAATAGAGAGCCCAGAAATCTGCCCGAACCAATATGCTCAATTAATATTTGACAAAGGAGGCAAGAACATACAATGGAGCCAAGATAGTCTCTTCAATAAATGGTGCTGGGAAAATTGGACAGATATATGCAAGAAAATGAAACTAGACCACCAACTTACACCATACACAAAAATAAACTCAAAATGGATAAAGGACTTAAATGTACGACAGGAAACTATAAAAATTCTAGAAGAATCCAAAGGCAACAAAATCTCAGACATATGCCGAAGCAATTTCTTCACTGATACAGCTCCTAGGGCACTTGAAACTAAAGAGAAAATGAACAAATGGGACTACATCAAAATAAAAAGCTTCTGCACAGCAAAAGAAACCATCAACAAAACAACGAGAAAACCCACTGTGTGGGAAAACATATTTGCCAATGTCATATCCGATAAGGGCCTAATCTCCAAAATTTATAGGGAACTCATACAACTTAACAAAAGGAAGATAAACAATCCAATCAAAAAATGGGCAAAGGACCTAAATAGACACCTTTCAAAAGAGGACATTCAGAAAGCCAAGAGACATATGAAAACATGCTCAAAGTCACTAATCATCCGAGAGATGCAAATCAAAACAACAATGAGGTACCATCTCACACCTGTCAGACTGGCTATCATCAACAAATCAACAAACGACAAGTGCTGGAGAGGATGTGGAGAAAAAGGAACACTTGTGCACTGCTGGTGGGAATGCAGACTTGTGCAGCCACTATGGAAGACAGTATGGAGTTTCCTTAAAAAACTGAAAATGGAACTCCCATTTGACCCTGTGATCCCACTTCTAGGAATATATCCCAAGAAACCAGAAACACCAATCAGAAAGGATATATGCACCCCTATGTTCATAGCAGCACAATTCACCATAGCTAAGATCTGGAAACAGCCTAAGTGCCCATCAGTAGATGAATGGATTAGAAAACTGTGGTACATCTACACAATGGAATACTATGCTGCTCTAAAAAGGAAGGAACTCTTACCATTTGCAACGTCATGGATGGAACTGGAGAGCATTATGCTAAGTGAAATAAGCCAGTCAATGAAGGAAAAATACCACATGATCTCACTCATTCATGGATAATAGAGACCATTATAAACTTTTGAACAATAATAGATACAGAGGCAGAGCTGCCTCAAACAGATTGTCAAACTGCAGCAGGAAGGCCGGGGAGGGTTGCGGGGCAGGAGGTAGGGGGGTAAGAGATCAACTAAAGGACTTGTATGCATGCATAGAAGCATAACCAGTGGACATAAGACATTGGGGGATAGGGGAGGCTAGGGGACTGTCTAGGGCGGGGGGATAAAAAAAAAAAAAAAAAAAAAAAAAAGAAAAATAAATAAATAAAATAAAAAAAATAAAAATAAAAAAATAAAAACCTACATATCTCACATTTGAATTGAATATTTAAATAAGAACAAAGTCATTTGTTATGATAAAATTACAAATTTATAATTGAATATACCAAATATATGGTATGTTCTTATGGTTATATTTAAGTATGCGTACAATTTACAGTTAGAGTTTTTCTCCTAAAGCACTATGGCAAAATTTTCCACTAAATACTAAAGATTAAAGTGATAAATTTGAAAAGATGCACCCCCAAATATTTACTTTGTGTAAAGAGAACAGCCAAATCATCCAAAATGTCCAAACTGACGAAAGTAACTGGAGATTAATATTCACCCTATATGTTTGTGAGCAAAGAATGATTTTCTTAATTAGTTGAGTAAAAGTATTTGTTACAGATCTCCTGAAATATCTCCTTGAAAAATATAGACTATAAAGTTTTTATTTAAATTACATAAGATGTGGTGAAGAACCCCTAAATGTTATAAATTGGAAACAGGTTCACAACACAACAATTCAGTAACCTTAAAATGAATAATTTGTTCTATGAAAAAAAAGTTATCAAAATAATGCAATATTATTCCTCTATAAATAAGTGACATGTTCAGAATACTCTACCAAAATAAATACAGCATTCAAAAAAATTTTAAAGGTAGTATTTTTTGAGATTGTGGAGCTGTACCAATTTAAAAAAAAACACAAAACAGCCCTACCTGGTTTGGCTCAGTGGATATAGCGTCAGCCTACAGACAATGTGGCCTGGGTTTGATTCCGGTCAAGGGCACATGCCAGGGTTTCGGGCTTGATCCAGGTAGGGGACGTGCAGGAGGCAGCCAATCAATGATTCTCTCTCATCATTGATGTTTCCGTCCCTCTCCCTCTCCCTTCCTCTCTGAAATCAATAAAAATATATTTTAAAATATATACTGTTTTACTATATACTAAATATACTAAAAACCACTGGATTGTATTGCTGTTTCACTAGTGTTAAAAAATTTTTTTTTTTTTTGTCCTGACTGGTTTGGCTCAGTGGATACAGCGTCGGCCTTCGGACTGAAGGGACCCAGGTTCGATTCCAGTCAAGGGCATGTACCTTGGTTGCAGGCACATCCCCAATAGGGGGTGTGCAGGAGGCAGCTGATCGATGTTTCTCTCTCATCGATGTTTCTAACTCTCTATCCCTCTCCCTTCCTCTCTGTAAAAAATCAATAAAATATATATTTAAAATATAAAAAAAATAAAAAAATTTTTTACATCTATTTTTTTAATTCAACTTTACCAGTTAGGAAAGTTAACAGTGAACAATGACTTTCTTCTTTCTAGAGGACATTTATAGAAGAATTCTGCATTTAAAAACATACTTCTAATAAGCTCCTAAAGGGAAGTTTTCACTAAGAAAAAAAAAAGACAAACTAGTATTCTATAATCTCTCTTTGCTACAATTTTTAACTACACATTTAAACCAATTAAATCTAGTTTGCTGCATTTGTAGAATATCAAATATGCCCTGGGTCTAATATTTAATTCAAATTCAATAAATATTTATTGAGTGGTCTACTACAAACCTAACACTATGCTAAACGCTGAGGAGAAAAATAACCGTTTTGGTTTTCCTATCTTCCTCTGCCGTTGTCCTTGTGGCCTAAACACATAATCACTTGATGAAAGATGCCAGCAGGAGAGTACTACCTACCCTCATTTACTACACACTTGACTTAAATTTATATTCACGGACTCTAAACTCAGATTTCAAATAAAAATCAACTATACAAAAGAACTGACTAGAATCTGTTATTTTGTAAGGCACTCATCACTGAGAGCTAAAATTTTTCTCGTATGCATCATGAAGGAAGATCCTTTTCCACGTTGTTGGCAAAACTGTCAATCATCTTGATGAGCAGCAAATAAATGAATGCCCAATGATGGGATTCTGTATTATCCTTAAAAAAGAAATCCATCAACTAAACATCAACAGGTAAATGTTTATACTCGACAGCCATCAATTTCAACTATCCATGCAAAGAGACAGGTGAGCTGGACTGGTAAACCTCGAAATTAGAGAAGTATTAATCGTCTGCTTCCAGCCAATATAAACAGATGTTATTTTTAAACAGGCAAAATCATCTCTTCCACTGAAATTTATTTGCAGCAGATAATGTTCTGTTACATTTTTAATCAAGCAGATGAAGTTACATTTAAATTGAAAATCTGCTTCACTCAACTAATCAGGCAAGTAAAATTCAGAGATGATTGAATGGCATTACACAGCACACTATTACGGCAGGTAAATTGGGAAATTTACCTGTCACACCACACAGAGTATTGTTCAACCACTGCATCTGCAACTTAGAAGCAAAGCGCTAAGACAAAAAGGGAAAGGCATGTTAAACAGACTTATAAATCCATCATATTTTATGAAAACATTATTAAGGCTGCCAGCAAAATAAATAAATAAATAAATAAATAAATAAATTTTTAAAGGGGGGGAAAAACACACACACTACCTCTCAGGGAATCAATGAAGATTTACAATGGTATTCTTATCTGTTGCATGTAAATAGCATGCCTGGTTATTTTAGAGATCAAGATACATCCCTTGATCAAGGAAAAACAGGTTAAAAAAACACTTTATCAAGAAATAGCAGATAAAACAAGCAATATTGCACTACTTTGCAAAATAAAACGACTAGGACTCACTCATCCGTACAGATCATTAATTTCATATACAACAAAAATATCACATATAAAAAATAGTCAATTTACTCTATTTATAAAAAACCCAGTCCATTTTTGTCACTTGTAATTCCCTATACAATTGGAATGTTAGCATTTCTAACATGTCTTCAAAATTTGCTTTCACAGATATCCAAAACAATCTAATGGCTATTTCAGTTGTTTCCACTGAAATCCAACATTTATTTCCACTGCTTATTGTCTATAAACTCAAATACTTTTGTTGCAACAGCTGAATTTAATATCATTGCTTATAACATTAATTGTGAAATATTCCAACATCATGTACCAATACTAAGTTGTATCTTTGACAACTTGTTTATAATAGTTTAGTTACATCATCACAACTTTAGAAATACCGGGTGATACAAAAGGCTTACAGTTATTGAATATGCAAAAGTTTATTGTTGTATTATTATTTACTAATTATTGTATTTTTTCCATACAAACAACTCTAAACCTACTTTTGCCCCAACCTATACATAGGCTTAGGTGCCACCTACTATGCCTTTCTCTTTCCTTTACTTCCACTTTTCCTCTTTCCTTCCTTTCTTCTTTGTTTTACCTTCTCTTTCTTTTTGGGGAGTATAAGGTGGGGATGTAGGGGTTGAAACGGTATGTAACACTGAAATGCAGTCTAAATTACAAACACACAATGTTACTGTTATACTCTTAATGTGGTGTAAACTCACCCTGATTTTCCATTAGTAGTGTTGAATTTGGCCTGATATATCCATACCCTGTCATGGGGTTAGTAAATAAAGCTAGCTAGAAATCATACGTGTCTTAACTATCAAGGCATTGTTTTCAGTAAATTACTTATGAGGGCTAACACTTTAAGGTTTACAGAAAAATTATGAAGACAGTACAGAATTCCTAGGTGCCCCAAACCCAGTTTCCCCTTGTAAGTAATGTCTTACATTAGTATGGTACATTTGTTAAGATTAATGAACCATTATTGATTATTAATAACTAAAATCCATTCTTTATTCATACTTCTTCATTTTTACCTATTGTGGGGGTTCTTCTGTCCCAGGATCCCATACAGGACACTATATTACATTTCGCTGTCAGGTCTCCTTAGGCTCCTCTTGGCTGTGATAGTTTCTCAGACATTGTCTGTTTTGTTTTGTTTTGTTTTTATAAGAATGCCATTTATTTTATTTTTAATATATTTTTATTTTATTTATTTTTAAATATATTTTTATTGATTTCAGAGAGGAAGGGAGAGGGAGAGAGAGAGAAACAGAGAATCATTGATTGGTTACCTCCTGCACGCCCCACCCCACCCTCTACTGGGGATCGAGCCCGCAACCTGGGCATGCGCCCTTAACAGGAATTGAACCGACACTCCACCCATTGAGCCAAACTGGCTAGGGCTCAGACTTTGTTTTTGATGACCTTGCCAGCTTTAAGGAGTATTGATCAGGTAATTTAATAGAATGTCCCACAATTGGGATTTACTCGCTTTTCTCAAGGTTATAATGGAGTTATGGGGTTTTGGGAAGGAAGACCACAGAGATAAAGTGACATTCTCATTATATAATCTCGAGTGTAAATGCTATCAACATAATTTATCAATAATGACGACAGCCTTGATTACCTGTTTTATCACTGTGTTTTAATTTAGCCTCAGTCTTCACAAAAACTGCACTTACACTTTTCTAAATTTTATACAACATACTACTATTCTTCACTACTGAAGATGGCTATTTTAACAACTACTCTTTAGACGTGATTCACAGGAAGAAAAAATTCAGCTGTGCTTCCCATACTGCACCAAGATTAGTCTTTGAGTCATTACAGTAATATTTCCAAGTCCGTAGATATTTCTGGCCTGTGTCTTTGCTTTCAAAATTGGTCTAAAACTTAGGCTAATCATTAGAATCATCTGGAGGAGTTTTTTAAAATATTGTTACCCGGGTTCCAATTTAATCAGAATTCTTGGGCACCAATTGTTTTTAAAAAACTCTCCAGATTATCCGATACAGAGCCATGGTAGAGAACCACTGGTTCAAGGCCTTAGCTCTGTATTGACTATAGCAGTGCCAAGCTGATGTGTCTTCCCAGTTACAGCATTCATAGCTATGCTATACCGCTGGGGGTTTACACTTCTTATGTCTCTTCAATTCTTCCTGTAAAATAGCTTGGGCTTAAAAAGAACTCTATATAACTCAAGGACACTGCAATGCTATTTAAGCACTGCAATGCTAGATTAAACATAGAGGCAGAGGCAGTGACTGACATTTATAAATATTACTGATGAGCTCAGCTGGTGTGGCTCTGTGGTTGAGCATCGACCTATCAACCAGGAGGTCACGGTTCGATTCCTGGTCAGGGCATATGATGGGGTTGTGGGCTCGATCCCCAATGGGGGCGTGCAGGAGGCAGCCAATCAATGATTCTCATCAGTGATGTTTCTATCTCCATCTCCCTTTCTCTCTCTCTCTCTCTCTCTCTCTCTCTCTCTCTCTCTCTCTCTCTCTCTCTGAAATATTACTGCTGAAAGTATGCATACTTCAAGGTGAAAACTTCAAAGGGCTGGATACTAAACCACCAACATAAAAACATTCTAAATTCACCAAAACACAGTGATAAACTGTCGTTTAAAATCTGGTGCTCATTTCTGCATTGAAGCAACAGCCTATGGGGTTGTTTTAGTACATATCTCTTAAAAATAAGGGTGTTTCCTAAATAACCATAGCAATAATACCACATCTACTTTTAATAACATCAAATAGCATTATAGAAATAAACTTTTTTCATCCCTGAGATTCTATAATCTCAGAAATTCATTTTTAATGAACCATAATAAAATCATACCTACGTGACATACTAACATTTATGTTCTTAAATTTTAGAATTACGTATCTCCTCCTCTTCCCAAATCTGTTTTTGTTTTGGGGTTTTATTTTTGCTTGAGAAAAAAAGTTGTAGGCACCTCTTTGCTTTAATTTTTTTAAAGTGCACAACAGCTCTATCAAAGACATGTTTGTAACAGGTAAAAAATACCTGCTTGGTTCGTGGCAAAGGTGATTGGCCAGATTAAAGTTCTCACCTCAGGCACAGAAACTCTTTCCAAACAGAACTGGCAAAGTTATATGCATACTTAATGTGATTTAATGTGGACAATTCAATTAATTTTAATTTGTAGCCTTTTTTACTTGGCTAATAAATACACTAAATTAATTCTTAATTTATCAACATTACATTACATTACATATTGCTCAACATTACAAATTTACATATTAAGCTGACAAATATCAAAGGGGAAACTGTTACCACCAACAAATTCATTAAACTTGTCGAAAAAGGTAAAGTTAATAGCACCAAAAAGGCAGAACAAGAGAAACTGACAGGATCAGAGGCCACAATGACTTCTGTGTCATATTCCATTGCCTCAAAATTTTCAAAAAGAATACACAGCAATAATTAAAATTAATAAGAAATGGGATTCAGAACTTAGAAGTTTTCTTTATAATCTATTTTACATCCAAAGGAATGCTAGTACATACAAATAAAAACATGTATTTGGAAACAATAATCCCATGTTATAAAAGTCATTAGATAAAGAAAATATCAAATATATCCTAAAGAATTTCTGGAGACCGTTAAATTACAAAACCAGCAACGTTAAATTGCCACAGGAATTAGAGTTAAGATCAAGCACCCACAGTCAAATTCCCACTGAAGCTCCATGTAAGTCAGAGCAGCTGGCAGACATCTAACTGGCAAAACAGGTAAGAGTCTGTCAGTCTTCCAAGCATCTCTCCGGATGACAATCCACCCCAGCAAGTAGGTCCCTAGTGAAATATTTGGTCCCGTTTTCACAAAATATTTGTGTATTTTTAGAAAAAGTTTATGTCAGAATTTTAGTCAACAAATATCTGCCTTCCTACCATCAATGAGATGGTACCCTTGAGTTGGTATCAAATCTCAAAAGAAAGTAAGAAAGATTATATTCTAGTAGACCCAGACTTTTTAAAGTCTACCTTAGGCAAGAAGATCCTGACCATCACCCTTGTATTTTATTTCTTGATGCACAGAGGAACTTACAGTTAGACTTTCCAGTTCATTTACTGTTAAGATGACTGCTGAACACAATGATATGGACTTGTTAGATCTTTTCAACAGTTCAAAAGAATTACTATATAAAGTGCACAGAATTAGAGTGATGTCTCAGGATATAGGAAGCCCCTGGCCCTTTAAAATTAATTTATTAACTAACTGGGTCCACAACTACATGCTGAGTACTTTATGTATTTCATTTTACTAGGCATCATGGAGAACATACTGAACATGCTAAAATATGCCAAAATATAAGGAAATCCCGAATGTAAAGTAAACCCATTTTACTAATATGCAGATTTAAAACTAAGATTTTTGGCATCCAAATATATAAACCTTTAGGGATACAGTCAAAATAGTCTAATGTGCTCTATAGCACAAAGCCAAACCTCAACAACTTATTACACACAAATCAAGAGTATCAGACTTCTACTTCCAACTAAGATAAAGTATAGGGATCAGACTTACCAGCCCACCTAAAAAAACCCAAACAACAACAAATAAACAGACAAAACATGGCAAACAACAGTGCTTAAGGCACTGGGTATCCGGCAATAAAAGACAATAAAATCCCTGAGAAACCAGTAGGTGAGCCCTAGCACTATCCCAGCTTATTGCTAGAGTTTCCAGGACACAGCACAGGGAGAGAACCCAGGCAGACCCTAACAGATGTCAATAGTGTAAGAAAAAGAGCTGAGAGCCCAGGGACACCAAGGCAGATAAATTTGAAAAATATAATAACAACGGGGATAGAAACAATCACAAAGATCTTCAGAGGGTCCAACCCACTGAGCACTTAGCAGAGTATCCAGCACATGTGTAAGAAAACTATTTGAGGCCACAGAAAGAACAGTCCAGAAGGATTAGACAGAATCACCCAGAGATGAGAACAGTGTCTGTTTCTACCAGTCCCCTGCAAAATCTCATACTTCATGGGGTACTATGTAGGGCATTCAGAAGAGTCTTGCCTCATTAATGGGGAATAATCAGCCCAAAACTAAACATTCCCCTATTCTCACCTAACAAATCTTAAAAACAAGACCCAAAAGGATCAAACAATTGCTAATTTAATTTTGTCCCAGAATAAAGGTCAAGAATATTTTACAGGAATATAAAAATAATCAGCAACAAACAAGTTAAAATGAATGTCTGAAATCTAATCAAAATTGGAAAGTATGCAAAGAAGCAGGAAAATATGACTCATAATGAGAAAAATCAGTCAACTGAAACCAGCCCAGACTTGCCAGAGATGTTAAAATTAAGAGACATGAACTTTAAGACAGTTGTAATAATTGTATTCCTTATCTACAAAAAATTAAGTACAGACATGGAAGATTTAAAAAAAACCAACCCAAATCAAACTTCTACAGACAAAAGCTATCATATCTCAGATTAAAAATACACTAGATAGAATTAATGTCAGATTAGACATTGCAGAAGAAAAGATTAGTGAAACTAAAGAGAGAGCAATAAGAACTACCTAAAAAAATAGAAAGGAAGACAAACAATGAAAATAGCATCAGTGAACTGTGGAACAATTTCAAGTAATTTAACATAAGTAATTCAAGAACCCAAAGGAAGGAGACCAAAAAAAATTGAATAGTGACTAGAATGTTTTTAAATTTGATTTAAATTATAATCTTTTTGAGAATATTTACCAAGAGAGACCATATTCTAGGCTATGAAACAAGTTTCAATAAACTTAAAAAGATTCAAGTCATATAAACTATGCTATTTGAACACATGCATTAAATTAGAAATCAACAACAGAGAGCTCTCTGGAGAACCCAAAATATAGAGATTAAATAACCCACTTCTAAATAACGCATGGGTCAAAAAGGAAATCACAAAGGAAATGAAAATATATTTTGAACAGAGAGAGCAAATGAAGATGCAACATACCAAAATTTATGGGATGCTGCTACAACAGTACTCAGGGGGAAATTAATAGCACTAAAAGAATAGTTTCAAATTAACAACCCTAGTTTCCATCTAAAGAAACTAGGTAAATAAAAGCAAGCATTATTCATTGTAAACATAAAAAAAGAAAATAATAAAGATCACAGTTAAAA